CCGACATTTTGAATATGAAAATACATTTGATTGGTTTATTAATACATACAGTGAGAAAGAGAGAGACAGAGAAACAATGTTGGATCAATGAATTTCTTTTTTTTTTTTACACTTTCCAAAAGAATTAAACAAATACTCAACACAAATTACAATATAATTAATAAAAATGTTCCTTTTTGTTTGATCCGACATTTTGAATATGAAAAAAAAAAAAAACATTCGATAAAGAGAATTTTCTATTTTGTACACTTTCCGAATGAATATGAAACTTTCTTTGATATTTGAATGACTTGATTTTGAACACAACATATTAAATTATTATTTTAATCCTTTTGTATATCATATTTAAAAAAAAACTGAAGAAGGTTATTATAGAAACTTTTATCGACACACCTTTTATAACGTGTGTGTAATAATCTCCTCCATGACACGACACAATTATAATACTTATAATACTAACACACACACATCACATCACAGCACACACAAGAAGAGACACATGAGAGAAGAGTTGAGAGAGAGAGAGAGATAGAGAGAGAGAGATAGATACATACGTTTCACACTGAGAACACTATACACGCCCATATGCTATCAACGATGCGTGAAAAAGAAAAGGAAAGAATAAAAAAAAAAAAAAAATAAAAAAAAAAAAACATGTCCGGAAGAATGAGAAATACGATGGCAATAACCGCACTCTTTATTTTTTTGTTAATTTTTTCTTTTTTTTCTTTTTCACTTTCTCTCTCGATAATTATTTATTCCTTTTTTTTTTTTTTTAATGTATCTAAATTATGTGAAAAAAAAAAATAAATAAATAAAAAAATGTTCTATGCTAATCGTTGAGGTTATTTTTTTGTTTTTTTTTTGTTTCTGTATTACCGACCGAGAATCGAATTTCTTTTTTTTTTTTTTTTGAAATTATAAGACACTTTCTCTCTCTACGAATATTAATTATATATATATATATATTTTTATGTATTTAAAATGTGTATGAAATAAAAAAAAAACCAAATGTTTTATGCAATTTTTTTTTTTTAAACGCGAATCGTTGAGGTTATGTTATTCCTTTTTGTTTTCGTATTATCGATCGAGAATTAAATTTTTTGTTAACAAATTATAAGAAATATAATAAATGGGATTAAGATGAATGATAGGAAAAGAAGGGAGGGAGGGAGGGTGGGGAGGGGAGGGGGCGAAAAGAAAAGAAAAGAAAAGAAAAGAAAAAAAAGGGGATGAAAATAAAAATGTGGATATAAAACGTGTGTAGTTTAGAGGCTTATTACACGATCGCGACTACTATGAAATATAAAAGGTCCATTTTGTTTCAACACGACGACAACACGATGATAAGCCTTACATATGTGTAATGTATATGTGTGACTGTATATTATGTGTGACCAGTTTTAACTCAACTTGGTTATTTCCGTTATCAAGTGTTGTGTAGATTCTGATAAGCGATAGGCGTCTGACGAACAACACACACAACACACACACACACACACACACACACGGTTGGTTTGTCGTTATATCTTCTTCTCTCTTTTTCCAATAAAATAAGAAGAAGAAGAAGAAAAAAATGAAAGAAAGGTGGTGTTCATGAAATTGTCGTAAACTTTAATCGATGATAGGTGAGAGAATCGAAATGTTTAAATAAATTGATATTAATAAATTAATAATTATATTAAATGGTAGTGTAATGTGTATAGTAAAGGTAGAAAGTTTTTTTTCAAATTAACAAAATGTTTAAGAAATATTTTATTTTGCTTATAATAATTATTATTATTATATGAATTTTTATTTTATATAATTTTTTAATTTATATATTAGTTAATAATAATATAATTATAATATTTGCAATATTATTATATAATATATTAAACGTTTTATTAAATTGCAAAAAATTATTTCTACGACAAGTAGTTTGAAAAGTTTCATTTTCACGGGCGTGGCTTTAAGTGTTCACCTACGTATTTATATATCATATATATATATATATATATATGATATCTAAGTATGTATATAATATCTACTTGTATATGTGTATTCGATATAATTGAGATAAAAGATTTTTATTACGCAGCAAAGAAGACACACATATTTTTCAACCTTATATGGGAGTAGAAATACGTGTATATACATATGTATGTATATATATATATGCGTATGTGTGTGTGTGTGTGTTTGAGTGGGAGAGAATTGGAAAGAAACAAAATTTACATATACGTTGCCACCTAAATGGGAAGTGGGTAGGGTGAATGAAAATGTGTAATGCATTACATGTATTGGTTACAGAAAAAGAAAGAGAATGTGTGAGTGTGTGTGTGTGTGTGTGTGTGACAGAGATAAAAATAAAAAATATAATTGCAGAGATGCATTACAGCGAGACGATTTTAAATCGTTCGAGTCCCTCATCGTTTAAACTAATAAAGCTCAAGTGCAAAC